ATTTTTTTAAAAATATTTTATTTTTTTTTATTTGACACAGATTGAGAGAGAGAGAGAGCGAGCGATCACAAGTAGACAAAGCAGCAGGCAGAGAGAGAAGGAGAAACAGGCTCCCCGCCAAGCAGAGAGCCCGATGCGGGGCTCGATCCCAGGACCCTGGGATCATGATCCAAGCCAAAGGCAGAGGCTTAACCCACTGAGCCACCCAGGTGCCCCAACTTGTTGATTTTTGTGACAAAATGCCCTCATTCCCCATTCTCATCAGGGGAGGCCAGTGGGTGGGGTCAGGCATCTTTTGGGTGAGACTCTGTCTCTTTTTGAAACTTTGATGTTCGCTCATCATGGATTTTTTGGCATTAATTTTGATTTTCATGGACACTGCATTAAAACGTTATTTATCTTGGCTACTGAGATTTTTTTGGGGGGTCCCCTTACGTCTTGTGCCTGAGGTGTCTTAACTTGCCTCACCCCAAACCCAGCCCTATCCCAGTGACCCTACTCCCGACTTACTCCATTTTGCCCAGAATATGAAAGTGTTAGCACCTTCTCACAGAGGTAAGAAGGCACTTTTGATAATGAAGTGGATTAGAATGATTTCTTCTTGCCATTTGTCACATAGCCCTGAGAGGTTAGTTGCTCCCTGTTACCTTCCTCTTACAAATAAAGTAGGTCTAGGGGGATGGGCAGAACCAGGGTGGGGGATGGGCACAGTCTGACAATTGAGTCAGACAACTTCTCCCTGGGATTTCATGGATCCCCATTTGTTAGAAATTCTTGTTTTGAAAACGTCTCTCTTCAAGAGAATGTGATTCAAATGTTTCACTTCAGTAAATACAGCTTCTTAATTTCAGAGGAAATCTGAAGTGGTTTCTGATATCTCCACTGAATATCCAGCCACTTTCCCCAGGACCACATTTCACCTTATGTTCTCACCGGCTTGATCTTAAAATGTGGCATGGCGGCAAGCCCCCAGAGGGGTGTTATTGAATGGAACTCTTAGTTGTACCTGTAGGGGTGGTTACAAAATGACTTTTATGTGCTGGAGGCACCACTTAGCTTGGCTTTAATAGTCATTCTGCGGATTGGGTTGTGTGTGCTGGACCCGGGACTGGTTCTGTTGGTGATGGAGATGGTGGTTTGGTTGGGATATAGGGATTGTCAGAGTCTAGGGGAAATCCAAGTAGAGATCTTGAAGTGAGGAAAGAGAACATGTTTAGAGGAGGGGTCTGGACTGCAGAGAGAGGTTTGGGTGCCATCAGTGTATGAGTTCATTCATTCATTCATCCATTTATATAGTAACATTTTGTTGAATGTCTATGTAGTGCCAACCACTGACACAGATGCAGTGCCTTCCTTCACAGAGCTAACATTCAGTGGATATGTGGCTCTCAGGGGAGTAGGAGATCTCCTACAGGGAGCTCATGAAATGAGAACACTTGCCATCTGACTCCAGAAAACCACTGCAGGGATCCCTGAAGGAGACTGAGCAGCAGACAGACAGAAACACGGTATAGCAAGATACATGGCGGGATGCCAACAGAGATGCCATTGCTTTTTAACCTACCAAGCGAGCAAGAATTAAAAAACAATAAATAAGAAAGTGTGAACTCTTGTGCATTCTTGGTCAGAGTACTATGCATTGATGCAGTGTTTAAGGAGAAGCAGTTTGGAAATATGTGTCAAGATTCAGCTATTTCCCTTGTAGGGATTTAAGAATGTATTACAATCTATTATTTAATCACGGATATATGCAAAGACTTAGACATAAGGCCTATCATTGAAGTATTATTTATAGTCGTGAGTAATTTGAAACTACTTAAGTGCCTATGTGTAGGAGATTAATTAAATGAATGATGATCAACATGGCCCTATGGTCACCATCAGTCATTCAAAATGAAGATGTAAAGGATCTACAACATGGAAAGTATTCATGATCTGTTTTTGTGACAAAAAAAATGTTATGAACTAATTTTTTAGAAAAATGGGTTGAGAGAAGGTATTTTTGATTTTTAAAACCAACGAGGGACAAGTTTCTAGAATATACTTCTTCAAAGCAATAAGCAAAAGACAGGCGAGGAAAAATCAGCAAAGGTTATGAATAGTCAGTTCCCAGAAAAAGAAGTGCCAATAGCTAAGAGGCATCTGTGCTGCTCAGGCTCATTAGAGAAATGCAAATTAAAATGACAATGAGGGATCACTTTACTTCAATCAGATCGGCAGGCATTAGAGAGCTGGGTAATTGGTGAGGTGGTAGAGGAGCCTGTGGGCAAAGTGTGGTCCGGTGCCAGCTTTCTGGAAACATCTCAGTTGGTGGTACTTTGTTGATGTAAGCAGGCATAAAACCTTGACTCAGCACTCCTGCTCCCAAGTCCATACCCGGAGCCAGTCCCATGCAGCCCCATGAAGGGACCTGCATAGAATGTGCAGGACAAAATTGAATGCAGCATAGGAAGTCGCGGACAATCTGGCCATGGCTGCGGAGTGAACAAGTCAAATAGGCATGTGATACCCACTTTGTAACATGGGGCAGCAGTTAGAAGGAATGAAGTTGACAAGCACAGAGCCCCACAAGGGTCGGTCTGAAGGCATATGCTGATGAAAAAGTGAGCTGCAGAAAAGATGCAGAAGGTCATTCGGGGAACTCATAATGCCTGTCTTCAGAAATCGTGTCACCTGTGCCATGTTTTATAAGAACCCATGTTGTGAAGCAGGTGGAGCTGGCAGGGCAGGGTGGCGAAGAAGGAAATGCAAGTGGGGAATGGAGGGCCAAGGAATAAGTAAATAAACCAACAAAGCCAGTCAGGAACCTGGTCCAGGTCAGGGAAGACTGCCAGGATGTGAGCCATCCCACCACCTGCTCCTGAGGGTCAACCCAACAAAGGAAATCGAACTCCCACCAAGCCCCAGCCAACCATCAAAAGCAAAAGTATAAATACAAAGTTTGCTTCAACAATATGAGGAGGATTTTTTTTTATTAAACAATGTATACATAGATAAGAGCTAGAATACCAACAGTCCTTTTTCTGGGTACAGGCAAATAGTGTCAAAGGCTCAGAAACAGCCAAAGTAAAACCAATACATCACTGAAATAGTAATTAGTGAAAATTGATCGTGTACACACCAAAAAAGACAGCTTGTGAAGTGGGAACACTCAACCCAAGACATGGAATGAGGCTCAGGGGTATATTGTTATAAAGCAGCTTATATAGTGAGAAAGCAGTGATTTTATTCTTCACAGCGAGAGGTTATAATGTTAGAATTTTCTTCAACGACTGGCAGTTGGTCAGTGGTTGCCTCCTATCAAACTTGGAAAACAGTTTAAGTTTTGCTTCTTATTTCCAGATATGTAAGCAAGAAACAACTGAGGTCAAGTTAGTTTTGCAAAATAAGTTAAATTAAGCTTTGCTTGTATGACTAAACTGGTTCTGTCTGCTCAGGGAATTTTCCAGGCTGGTTTGTTTTTTTCTTTACTACTTGATTGTCTTCCTGATACTTGGTTCCTTTCCTGTTTTGAGACTGAACTTACATGGCTTTTGTAATAAGAAAATGAAGTTTGAGAGTAATAAGCATGTGTATTGGAAGAAGCGCTAGGGACTCAGGGAGTTGTGTACGTAAAGGGTGAGAATGTTTCAAAGAGGGGTGGTGCATCTGGCCCTATGACCTTTCATCCATTCCCATTCTAGCCTGCAGGGGGTGTGTGCTGGGCTAAAAGATAAAGCATGACTACACCCCGAGCTGCTGTAGCCCAGAGCAGAACACTGGTGGATCCATCTTTTTGTGCCCATCCCTCTGGTTCCTACCCCATGATTGGTGGTTGTTGGTCACCGGCCAGATTCCAGAAAGGACTCCTACAGGGTGACATTGTGGTCAGGGAGGGCTTTTTGCAGGAAGCCTGAACGTTCTGGGCACCATGTGGAGTTTCCTATACTCCTGACATGCAACGAACAAATCTTTGTTGTCCTGTGACTGAGTCATGACACAACTAAAGACAAGGGCAGTTGAAGAGTCAAGGACACAAATAAAGGCATCTTCTTGAGATCACCCTTTTGGCAAATTGGTCTTTGGCTATTTTTACCACATAAATTCTTGTCCGCATGCCTACTGACCCAAGATCTGCAGCTTGTGCACATCATCCCTGTGTGTGTTAAAAAAGGAACTCTTTTAAGTTAGCATGGGGTGGGGGGGTAATTGAAGAGTCCTTTTGAGGACAAAGCTCTAACAATATGGAATGTGAACCAAATAATGCTGAGAGTAAAGAACCTATATTCTTTCAGACTCATGCAGTAGAAGGAAGTTACCACTGAAGATATAAAATTATAGGCCTGTACAAATGTTGGTGACAGGGGTGCCTGGGTGGCTTAGTGGGTTAAAGCCTCTGCCTTCAGCTCAGGTCATGATCCCAGGATCCTGGGATCGATTCCCGCATTGGGCTCTCTGCTCAGCAGGGAGCCTGCTTCCTCCTCTCTCTCTCTCTGCCTGCCTCTCTGCCTACTTGTGGTCTGTCAAATAAATAAATAAATAAATCTTTAAAAAAAAAATGTTGGTGACAGTTGTACATATCCCTTCTACTTACTCGGCCTTTTAGAGGAGGAACAGCAGCAGGTAATAAACAAAACCAAACCAAACAACAACAAAAAACAAGCTTTGGTGTTAAAGGTTTGCCCTTCAACTGGATGTCTAGCTGCTGATATGCCTTCGGCCCAGCCACATTCCTTTTTTTATATAGTGAAAATAAAAATACCCACTTGTCTCCTGAGTCTGTGTAAAGAGCCCAGCACAGTGCCAGGCACATGTCAGATTGCCACTGTAAGTCACATCTAAGTCAGAATCTCTTTAAAAAAAAAAAGTCTTCCTATTTTCGTCAGTTCAGTTTCAGATTCTTAGCGGAACCATCTTCAATAGGAACTGAACTGGGTGAGTACAGTACCTTGTCCCACACACAGCTTCATTAGGAAGTGCTTGACAGGACTTGACATTTTTGTTTTTTGTTCTGAATTCAGATCTGCTTTGCTAAGGCATGGAGGCAGAAGAAGTTTCAAGGGCTGAAGACGGAGCTGAGTATCCAGGTTCTAAAAATGAAGGCCAGCCTGATGTTGCTCAGCCTGACTTCCCACATGGAGGGCAATCTCCTGGTCCCACTGCTCTCTGGGAGATGCTAGAAAGGAAATTTCTAGAATACCAGAAGTTGGCTCATGGGAGCCTGGCTGAACATCAGCAGAGCCTGTTGGATCTCCTTCCGCTGTTCCTGAAGGTCGGTATTCTTATTTTTGAAACTGTAAGTAGATGATACAGTGCTCTGGGGACACTTCTGCGATGATTGGAAGCTGGAGTTGGTGGTTTTAATATCATCACAAGTGGTCCCTGTTGGGTTTCTTAGAGGGGAATGTTGTGCTATTTAATAAAGATGGCAAGCAAGGCTCATCTCCAGGATGAGGAAGAGTTGGAAAGGACAGTTGGCTCTTGAGTAATATTGTCTCCTTAGTTAAAAAAAAATTATATTGTTCAACCACCATCCTAATGTGGAGCCAGAGAAAGACCAGCCCCTCTGGAGCTAGGGAAGGAAGGTGTGTTCTGGGTTGCCAGGATAGCAGGTAACCTCAAACACCAGCAATGCCAACAGTGAGGACAGGGAGAACCCAGCCACTGGCATGGGAGAGAAGGGCAGCCTGTCCACAGAGCTGCCATTCTGGCCAGTGGCAGCTGGTGATGGTTTGGGTACAAAGGATTCCTTTTGTTGTCTCAGAACAAAGGTCCTGCCAATGAGGTCTGCTTTATAGTTGAATATGTTGAAGTTTAGTGGCAGAGTTGGAGACACATCTTTTTATGAGGGCTTAGTTTTTGCTTGACTATTGATTTTGGGTTATTATTTAAAAAATATAGAGCTACATTCAAAGCACAAAGAATATGAGATACTTTTCACATTTGAAACTAGGCTAAGACAGATGGAGACCTTGCCACATTTTCATTGGGAAACTCCCTTGTTGATTTGTTTCATCTAACTTATTAACCAGAAATATTTAAGGATTTCTAAAGATGAATTGGAATCTTCTTGGGATCATATTTCTAGGATGCACTGAGTACTTAGGCATGTCCTTCTGTAAAGAATTTTGCCAAGTAACTTACTGCCCATGAATTCATTATTTTCCTCCATCTTTTGGACTTGTATACCCCATCCATTCCATTTCGCAGATTGGATAACTGGCACATAAAGAATGTACGGGAAAAGTAAAACTACGTTAAGAGAGAGAGCTAAGGTTTCTCATTCCTAGCCCTCCTTGCCCCAGCAACCCTAGCTTCTGGAGGGTGGTTTAGTCTCCTCCAGTTCTCAGGTCACCTTTGCCTTATGGAAGGAAAAATGTGAGCAACCTCCTGTCCTCCACCAAAATTTGCTGCCCCATAGGTGTGTGGGCTCGGCCATTGCATGGTCTCTTTGCCACCCATCTGGTCAGCCATGGCTCTGTTGAAAGGGCTCTCATTCATGATGAGACAGAGCTTGGTCCTTCTTCACCTCTGTCTAGACTGTTGATTTAAGAATTCATTCATGTGTTGCACACATAAACTCTTATACCCTGAGCTCGGCTATGATAGTTGAGAAGACGGACAGAGGTTTTACACCATGGAGAGTTTAGTCCAGAGTAGAGGATACTAAGTAGCACCCAGAATGTGTCTTGTTTTCTTGAAGGGGTTAACAAAGGACTTTGTGGCCATTTTTTTTTCAAAATGGAAAGTTTTCGCGTGAAAATCAGATTTCCAGTTTCTCTTGAAAATTTTGGTAGATGTAATACTGACAATTGGATGGAGATGGTTAGGGGCACCCCTTTTAGACAGAAGATGGTCTCTGTTTCTCAGTTTGCCCCAGTCCACCATTCCCTAATATCTTTCACCCAACCCACATTACTCATTTCTGTTGCCTGACCTGAAGGGATTTGAGCTTGTGACCTCACACGCACAAGCAGTTTTTATTACTGAATTTTGGTAGTGGCCCATGTTTCCCAAGCTCTGCTCTTGTCACTAGAGGCATAATGACCCTATTGTTGAACATATGGGTTTTCGCGTCAAATAGAGCTGGTGTCAAGTCCTGGCTCTATTGCTAATTAGCTGTGCATCCTTGAACAAATTATTAAATATTAATGAACCTCAGTCTCCTTGTCTGTAAAGTGGCATCAGTAACAGATTGCTGGGAGTCTGTGAGGGTAAGAGGAGATAATGATTGTAAAGTTCACAGCACATGGAGAGCAGACGTAGTTCTCATTACCTTTCCACCAGCCACCAGGATACTAACTGTGTGTGTGTAGTTTGAGATCCCATTTCCAGTAGTGTCCAAACTGTTGACACAATCTATACGTTTTGGGTCCCTGGAGCTCACCTCTGATGAACCCTGCAGGAGTAGAATATTCCAGGCTTTTTATCATTGCTTAAAATCTCTATTTTTTTTTTTATTAAGTCCTACATGTCTACAAACCTGTTGTTGTTTCTGTTAAGTTCTAACTAAGAAAACCCCACCAGAGTGACAGCACTTAGGCTTCTTAATTAAGGGTTGGTATAATGGAAGGGGAACATGGAGAAGGTTAGAGGGTTATTGTTATTATTATTTTTTTGAGTATAGCGTAGATAAAAGCTGAAGTGTAGATGAAGACTGAGAACACTCACTAGAATACAGGTCCTCGCATAAGAAGTCAAGCTTGAAACTACTCTGTTCTGAATTTTATAATCACAGAACAATGTTCTTCAAGATCATCTATAAAGAACCCCCTTGGAAATACAAGGATTTAAAAAGTCATGCCAAAAGGGTGCCTGGGTGGCTCAGTTGATTAAGGGTCCGACTCTTGGGTTTGGCTCAGGTCATGATCTCGGGGTCATGAGATCGAGGCCCCTGTCTGGCTCTACATTCAGCATGGAGTATGCTTGAGGATCTCTCTCCTTCTCTCTCTGTCCCTCACACTTGTGCATGCTCTTGCTCTCTCTCTCTCAAATAAATAAATAAATAAATAAAATATTTTAAAAAAATCAAAATAAAAAGTTACGCCGAAGCCTTAGTCATGCACTGGTTATCCTGGCAGCCATGCCCCTACTGGGCTCTGAGACAACTGAGGGCTCTAAAGGAGTCTTGGACTGCTTTGGTTGATGGAGCTCAATTCTCTATACCTGACTCTTTTCACTTTAGGGCCAAGGAAAATTAGGATGATCTGGAATATTCTTTGTTTTAAGATAATGCACACAAGGGATTTTTGAATCACCACCCCCCCTGCTTGGAAAAGGCTGTGTCCCTGGATTGGGGGCTTTTTTGCCTGCCTTGCCCAGGCCCTGTGTCAGTCAGAGGTGGTATGGAAGGGGCAGCCCGGAGCTCGGGGGAGGGTTGACAGCAGTGAGTGCCCCATCTCAGTGGCCGCCACCTGCCTCCACCTAGTGAGTCTTGAGATTTGGAACAGGGACTGTTTGGTGTGCCAGACTCCCTCAGAACTGCTTCTTTCCCATCTTCTTCCCAAAAAAAACTTCCCTCTGGCCTCTTCGGCTTTCTCTCCAATTTGATTCCTCCAAATCCACAACAGAGGATCGTGTTTTCCCTAACTCTGCATTAACTGCTAGGCAAGCACAAGAATGGGTTTGGTTGGTTCTGTAGCAAATCCCAGCCCCATTGCCTCCTGAGTGGAGAAGCATCTACAGGGCTGTTGAAAAGTGAACCCATGCAAAATTTGGGTGATTCTCTTGGTAGTAAGGAAGAGCCTGATGGAATTTGGGGCATTGGAACACCAATGAGGAACTGCTCTGGGAGGATGAGTCAGAAAGGAAGTTCTCATCCAGAGCTACAGTCTCTCCTCCCCCACGAGGCTCCATCGATCCTCTCCAGAGATCAAGGAGGAGTTCTTAGCCAAGAGAGGTGGGCACTTTCACTGAGAATAGCTAATAATATTCACCAAGCTCTAACTACCTAAACCAGGCATTTTGTTTAATGTTGATAAGCCTTCATAATAACCCCGTGAGGTGGGGGTCATTTTTATCCCAGCCTTGCAAATGAGGGAAGAGAGGTTTAGAGACGTTGCATAACTTGGCTGGGGTCACTTCGTTGTTCTTGAGGAGCAGAACTCAACAGGGACAATATGCCCAGACCTGTGTCATTAGCCCCTGGGCTCCCTCACTTGGGCAGCACTGGGGTTCATAGAACGGAGCACATTTGACTTCCTTCCCTGTCCCATGACTCCCTGGACATATGGCTTTGCCTGGCTAGTACCGAATGGGTACAAAAAGAATGTCATGCCCTCTACATGTGGTGTTTGGATAGCTCCAGGATGTTGCAGATGAAAATGAGGTTTTAGAGCCTCACACAGGAAGCAGCATGGAGTTGATGACTTCTCAGTGTGCAGAACAGTGTTTCCAGGAAGGACTCAAGTGACTATTGTGTCCATGCCACAAGCCTTGGGCTTCGGTCTTTCTAGAACCCTTCCTATCATAGTCTCTCACATCAAGAGAAGTAGGCCTTCCTCTAGCAAGCCTGGGAAGATCTGCTGGCCCTTGGTTGAGTTTGTTTTGAGGGGGAAAGGAAGTGCTGTGGGACCTCACATTGCTTAGAGATATTTGGTTATAATAGACATGGGGAAAGCTAGAGCTGTAGATGTAGTTGTTGGAATGTGTTCTTGGAATGTGTACTTGGAGAGAAAACAGGCAGAGAGACAGGGAACCCCTGTCAATGAGTGTAAAATTCCTCACTGTCTGGGACAGACGACCTGGGGGGTGGGACCAGTGGGGACAAGGGGAGCTCTGTGGATGTGGTAGATTATAGAAGCTGAGAATGGGTCCACACTGCTCCCTTCGAGAGGTGGCATCCACATCCCCTCCTCTGGGATCTGGATGGATTTGTGATGACTTGGCCAATGGAATAGGGCAGAAGTGAGACTTGCAGGTCTAGGCTTCAGGAGACTCGCAGGTTTTTCTCCCCATCACTTGTAACTTCCTGTCACTCTTAGAACTCTGCTGCCATGCTGTGAGGGAGTCTCAGCAGCCCTGAGTAAAAGCCTACATGTAAGGGAACTGAAGCCCTTAGCCTTGCTGCTGACGGCCAGCACTGACTTACCAGCCACTCGGGTGTGGCATCTAGCAGGTGGATCTCTAGCCCTATCAGTTGCCCCAGCTGAGTGACGCAGAGAATAGTTGTCCCTGCTGAGCCCTGATCAAATTGCAGACCCATGAGAAAAATAAGCCCCTCAATTTGGGGGTGGTTTGTTGTAGAATGATTTATAGCCAGAACAGTGGGTAACATGGCGGGGGAATCATCCATTTTCTAGTGTGGAGGGATTGGATTTAACTCGATCGCACCTGGGCAGTGAATGTGTTTGTGTGCGTGTCTGTGTGCATGTGTGCAGACACACAGGGGAGCACAGGTCCTCTGAGTCCAATAGCCCTTCCAGTGGTGTAGAGTTCATGCCACCCAGTGTGGACAATCATTCTCATGGAAACCATGCGTGGACCCAACTGACAGTGGAGGAGAGAGAAATAACGTTAGATATAATAATAAGGATGAGCAATAATTATTCCCAAGTGAAGTGTCCCAAGGGGGCAATGAAGGTAAATACCCTTCTTTGTCCATCCCTGATCTACCCAGCCTCAGAGTGGGACCTGCAATGCGGCTTCTTCCCATCTCGGAGAAACATTTTTTTTTCTGCCACCAAAGTTTTGATGCATCACTTTTTAAATTTACAGTGGAGAGGGACAACTCTGTCACACTAGCAGGGAAAATTTGCATAAAGTCTCTGAAATGTGTTGAGCTCACTTAAAGACCAAATCACCAAACTCAGTGGTAATGAAGAAATAATAACATTGCAGCCAGCCTTGAAAACCAGCCGGGTTCTGTCATTCAAAAGCTGGGGTTTTCTCCCAACCCCTCAAGAGCTTTTGTCTTTCCTCATTGTCCTTTGGAGGCCACAGTATCATTTTCTTTCTCTTTCTTCCATGGGAGAGACAGCCATGAGACACAGCTGAGATAATGCGAGTAAATAAAATTTAAAAAAAATATTGAGCAATATTCTCCCAGCATGCAAGTCCCAGTTTGGGGAAAAAATTAGGTCCTTTTGGAAGCTGCCTTAACTCTTCGGGGGTCTCCACGGTACCATTCAGTAAATGATTGCCTCTGCGCATCAAACAGCACCCCAGTGGCCTGAAAGAGTTAACGTGGCCTCCAGAAGTGCCCATCGCGGTCCCAGGAAGGAGTGTGAGCCTTGGGAGAATCTGGCTGAGCATACAATTACTGTTCAGCTCACAGTGGCCCAATTTACTTTATTGTAGAGTGCCTGTAGGAGTCCCACTGGTTGAAGACGATCTAGATGCTTCTGAGTCAACTGCCTGCAAATTGGTCTTTGAGGGGTTTGCCAGTGCAGGGAGGAGGCACAGGAATTTGTTAGGAAGATATCATAGCACAGTTCTTAGTCCTGGGGAGGAAATAATCTTACCAGAAATTCCCAGCCGAAAGGACTGATGCTTTCTTTCCAGGTGATAGCCGCTTTCCAGAAGGCAGCCATAAATTTCTTAGCTATGCACATGCTGCATGACTATGAGTGAAGATAACTCAGCTCTTCATTCTGCTGCTTGCCTGCTTCTCTGGGCTTACTCTCCTGCCTCAGCCTTCGTTTCTGTAAAGTGGGAATAATCGTAACAATACTGATCTCAAAGGGTTGTCGTAGAATTAATGGAAGGAATGCACGTAAGGGCTTGGTCCAGTGATTGGCACAGACCCAACAAGCAATACGTTCAGCCCTCAATCTGCGTGTTGTGGATTTCATCATCATGTGTTTACTTATCGAGTATTCGTTGAAAGTCTACTACAGCATCTAACACTCACCTAGCATGTCTGTAGTGGCTTTTTAAAAAATAATTTATTTATTTATTTGAGTGAGAGCTTGAGAGCGAGTGAGCATGAGAGCATATGGAGGAGGAGGGAGAGGGGGAGGGAGAGCCAGGCTCCTGGTGGAGCAGAGAGCCCAACGTGGGGCTCAATCCCAGGATCCCGGGATCATGACCTGAGCCTAAGGCAGACACCCAACTGACTGAGCCACCCAGGCGCCCCTAGCATGTCTGTAATTTCAGCAAAGTTCTGATGAACTGCTTTCTTATTTACAAAGGAAAGGGACAATTCTGTCCATTTATAGCGCAGACAATAAAAGAAGTATTTCAGGTACAAAGTTTTGTTCAAAACAAAATAAATATTCCCATACCCACCACCCATATAAAAAAAATAAAATATTTCAGATAAACTGAAGTCTCTTGTGCATGCCTGCTAGAGCTCATTCCCCTTCTGCCCTCCTGTGGTGCAAACACCCATCCTGCTGAGTTATCATTCCCTGTGGGGGAATATATATGTATATATATGTTCCCTGAACATATTATATGGATATAACGTGTATTATGTATATCCAAATATATATATCCAATATGTAGCCATGTTATACAATAATATGGATATGTTTTAATAATCATAAGTGATATTATTATGAATTTTATAGGTAGACTCACAGGTTTTTCTAGACTCAAGACTGTACTATAATTTTTACAACTTGCTTTTTGCACCCAACATTCTATTTCTGCATTTACCCATATTGATTCATGTCACTCTATTTCTTTTTCAATTCTATATCGTATCCTTACATAAGTATGCCACAGGTTATTCATTCATTGTTCTGTTGATGAACACCGAGTTCTTCCAAAATGTCACAGTCACAGACACGGTGCATAGTAGTTTGTGTTCCTGTCTCCTTGTGTACACATGCTGGCATTTCTACAGGGAATATGCCTAGAAAGGAATTGCTGGGTCATAGGATGTGTCCCCCTATAACTTTATTGGATTGGATGAAATACTCTTCAAAGGGATTTTATGCACATTGTGCTCCGTCAGTAGATCATGGGGGTTTCCTGGTCCTTTCCCACATTTAGTATTGTCAGGCTTCACATTTTTTCCAGCTGGAAATATGTGACTGTCTCATTGTGCTTTTGATTTGCATTTTACTTACTATTATTTCCTGATTATTTTCCTAATTTGTTATTTATTGTATCTTTTATAAGTTACTTGTTTCATTTGCCTGTTTTAAGAAAATCAGAGTTTTTTAAAAATTAATTTGTGGGAATCTGGATGCTATTCGTTTGTCTGTTATATGCATTCCAGATATCTTTTTACCAATCCATGGCTTGTTTCCTTTGTACCTAGCATCTTTTAATACAGAGAACATGTCTTATTTATTTATTTATTTATTTATTTATTTTCAGCATCACAGAATTCATTGTTTATGCACCACACCCAGTGCTCCGTGCAATACGTGCCCTCCATAATACCCACCACCTGGTTCCCCCAACCTCCCACCCCCCCCGCCCCTTCAAAACCCTCAGATTGTTTTTCAGAGTCCATAGTCTGTCATGGTTCATCTCCCCCTCCAGTTTCCCCCAACTCCCTTCTCCTCTCCATCTCCCCATGTCCTCCATGCTATTTGTTATGCTCCACAGAGAACTTTTTTAAAAGGTTTTTACTCTTTAAGAAATATGGTATCTACAGCAAGGAAACACATTTCCCTCTGGAATTTTGATGCTTTTCTCACCTTTTCTAGAAGGAGGCTCTCAGGTTTAAAGAACTCAGTCACATCTTTGGGCAGGAATATAATTTAATATGGCTGGTGAGTAGGAGCAGTGGACAGCAGTCTAGCAAAACTCTATTTTGTGGAGGCCACTAATTGCCAGGAAACTGGAAAGAGGGAGTTGCCAGGAACTCAAGTCCTGTGCCAAGAAGAGTCACTCCACTCTGACTGTTGGTCTGGAGAGAGCTCTCCTCATCCTGGGACTAGTAAACTTTACCTGTGATGAACAGGAGAACAAAGGGAGAAGATTCTAATGAAAAGCAGATTGGGAGGGAATTCTGAAATTCTGAATTCTTAGGGCATCCTAAGTGGAATTTTAAAATTAATGACTTCTATTAAATAGTATCCTAAACAATAAAAGAAAAAGTTCAAGGTGAAAAGAGGACCAGATAGGATAGAACTAGAGAAGAAACAGAGAAGAAAGAATCTTAAAGAATTAAAAAAAAAGAAAAAGAAAAGAAATAGGAGATTAAAAGGGACCACAACCACTTGGACTCAAAAGAATTTCCCGAGCCTGGACCTAAGCTAGAAAACCAAGGAATAGATGGAGAAATTTCATTTCATGTGAATTTCAGGTTTCTGTACAGTGAAACCAAATAATACCAAATTAAAAGGAAAAAATGACAAATTTGAAAAAATCATGATAGTATTATGGACCAAGTGTTAACATTTTTTGGTATGTAAAGAGCTTTTTAAAACAAATAAGAAAATAGTGAAAACCCTGATAGAATAATAGGCTGAGGGTAAAAACAGGCACTTCAAGAAGCATAAAAAATGTTCATCTATTTTGGTAATCAAAAGACTGCGATTGAGAGGAGATTTTTTTTCTTCTATAAGCTTTCTCATTTAAGATGAAAAAGCATGACAGTGCCCCATGCACTTAGAGAAACTAGTCCCCTCCCATGGAGCCCCTGGAGAGGCTAATCAGGTAAACTTTTTCTGGGGAATGAGTTAGTAATCTGCATCAAAGCAGTAAAATAAATAAATGAATAAATAAATAAATAAATAGCATGTTCTTGTAACTTGCAATCCCACCCTTAGGAATTTATAAAAGGAAATAATTTTATGATTAAAACTTAGATACCTGCACAAGGTTCGAGAAGCATGAAGCATGCAAGGGTAGAATCAGAGAGGTAACAGTTGATGGGGTAAGGAAGTTGAGGGAGAGGGGAACCCAGAGAATCACCCTTGGAATTTCTCACTAGGGCACCTGGGTGCTTGGTAGAACCATTCACAGAGACAAGATACACAGATCTGGGAGGAAGGCAGTGGTTTGAATTATGTGTATTTGACATTTCAGGAGCATGAGTTCAGGGGCCGATGCTCAGCGCCCAGTTGGATGTGGGTTTGGAGCTCAGCAGAAGCTGAAGAATTTATAGGCACTAGGGTAGGAATACAGTGGAAGGTGTGTTAGGGTAGATGTTAGGGCAGGTGTTTCGGGGGCCTTTGGGATACACCTGGGACAGTGAGGTGACCCATGGGTTTGGGCTGGCAGGGAAAGCGGCATAGTGATTCTCATGCCTTGCTTTGTCATTTTGACATCTTTGCTGGAATCCTGTTTATTGCCCTTCAGGCCTGGGAAAACTCCGTGGGGATCATCTGCTTTCCCAGTCTCCAAAGGCTGGCAGAAGATACTTCAAACCAGCTTGCCCAAGAGATACAGAAGGCACTTGTGGGAAAGCCTGCAGGTAAGAGAACACTTGATGGAGAGCAAAACCATCTTGCATGTTCCTCCCAGGACCCCTATGAAGCTCTTCTCTGTTTTCCAGGGGAGTCAGACTGGTGCCTTCCAGAGAGTGCCACAGGCTCACTTCTGCTGTCGAGGGTGTTGGGAATGAAGGGAAAGGTTGGCAAAGGAGAGTAGAGGGATTTGCAGAATTCTGCTGCTCCTGGGAGGGACACACACACACACACACACACACACACACACAACCGGGGTCTCTGGGAGGGGGCGTACTAGGATATAAGGCACACCTGTGTGTTCAGTGAATCGCTCTATCCAGAAAAGACATAGAAGCTAAAGCGAAACATGTTTTCAGTTTTGGGGCTCCTAACTTGCATTTGTCTGCTCCTACAGCTGGACCCTGGAGGCTGGGCAGAGTTTCATGGTGACACAGGGCTGAGGGGCAGGAAGGGATTCTAGGGGGAAGGAGTATCTTGAGACTGGTGCAGATTGCAGGCATCTCTGCAAAGTAAGGGGCTGAAAGATACAGAAAGAGGAGTGAGGACTCTGGATTGGGAGAAGACCAATAGCTGGGGAGCTTCTTATTATTTGGTAATGGAGAGCCATTGATGGTTGTTGAACAGGCATGTTGACATGATAAAGAAGGTCCCCCCAGGAGATTAATCTGGCAGAGTGTGAGATGTTTGGTATGGTTTCAGATGGCATTGTGGAGAGGAGAGGAGACAGAAGTGCCCTAAAGATGCGAAAGCACATCTCACGGGAAAGGAGGCCAAGGGGAGGGAAAGGAGTGTGGGCAGGTCATTGCCCCGCCCTGCTGGTAACCTTTTCTCCCCTTCGTGTGCTGTTGCCAGAGCAAGCCAGGGAGGCAGCTGGGCAGTTGCTGCGGTGGAAGGGGGATGTGGATCAGGATGGCTACCTGCTCCTGAAGTCAGTATTTGTGCTCACAGGGACAAACTCGGTAAGTTTCGGACCCCGTGGGCCCCACTTGGGAGCTCTGTATCCATGTGCAGCAGGAAGTCCCAGCAAAGGGCAGTGGCATGTCTCAAGTGTGTCTTTTTTCCTGTGATACTGATTTATCATTTCTCTTGCCCTATGTCCCTTCTGATCTAGAACATGGACTTGAGCAGCTGAAATTCATTTTGGAATCCTGCTTTTTTTCAGTTGACCAGCTGTCTGTAACCTTGGGCAGATTGTCACCTTTCTGGGACCCAACTGTGTGGCTAATTTTAGAATAGGGGATAATGCCTTAGTTCTAGGGTTAGTGCAAGGATTAACAATGGCTGATGTGTACAGATGGTTTCCTGTGTCAGGGCAAGAGGACAGGTGTGTCCTGTGCAGGTCAGTTAAACCCTCCACACCCTCTGAGTAAGACTGTGAAGCCACTTTAGTTACCATCCTGTGTACTTGCTGTCTGTCTGACTCCGGAGCCTGTGCTCTGAGCCACTGCTCTTTAATGCCTCCTGCTAAACTCAAACCGAAGGAGCCCACCTTAGGCACCTTAGGCACCTGTCCCATGCATGCCCGGGGACAGTGCCTGAATGAGTCTGACTTCTCTTCCTTCCCTTCCCTTCCTACGGTACAACCCTCCTGGTTGCAGACATGTCCTTCCTGTGACTGAGGATGACTGTGTCCTCTTAGGCAGAAGCAGTGCCCGGGAGCTGTGGCTATCAGCAGGAAAGGCCAGAGGCCCTGGACAGGGCAGGCCCAGAGACTTGTGTATCTGGTGAGAGTGCCCACTGCACGCCAGTCTGGCACTCAGCACCAGGAGCAGCAGGGAACCAGATGGGGGCAGGGCTGCCCTGAGGCTAAAGGTGGAGGAGACCTCAGCCGGGCATCTGAAATAGTGCTTGGAGCTGGGGGAGGAGGTTGGCGTGCAGTCCCTCACTGGGGGAGGGTCCCTGGCCTTTGCTCTATATACGTCCTGGAACACTACCCATGTGGCAACCTGAAGCACAGAGAGGGAGCTTTTCTGTCCCTGGAGCAGGACTGCTCACACTCTGGTAGTAAAAATTAACCTAAGATCTTGTCTTCCACTGTGAGCCACCAGCCTGCAAAGCAGTGAGACAAGTAAGTAGGTGTATTTTAGTGGAGCCCGTGCAGCGTGGAGGACAGAGGAGCCCCCCTGAGCCAGGGTGCAGGAGAGCCAGGTGTCCAATACGGGTGCCCTACCACTATCATGCCCTGGAAGCTTCAAGGCGGAAGGATAGGACCAGCATCCTGCTTTATATTCCTGGTTCTGGCCCAGACTGTGCATTCTTCCTTTCTTTTTCTCATTTTGCCACCATGTGTGTCACCTTAGTCAGCTGGGTGGAAAGTTGGGTGGACAGTATGCTTTAGATTAATGCCATATGTATGTATGCACGCACACACACACGCAGACCTTGCTGCTGCCATAACCCCGGGGAAGCTGCTGGCTGAGCAAGTGGAAGAAAGGCTCCAGAAAGTTCCATACTGAGCCTGGTCCCCTCTCTGCCGACTTCCTGTCTTCTCCCCTATGGCTGGCCGCTCTGGTTATCAGTGCTAACTTATGGGACTGTGTCAGTCTTGGGGACGTCTCAGATCTGAACAAGGGGATGGGAAGGTCCTTGATCAAGTCCTTCATTACGGGTTTCCACTTGTTCTGAACCATGCACTCCCGATTATCCAATTCCCTAATCAGGATGCAACCTACCCAAATCAGTAGTGTAATCGTGTAGGAAAGCCCTTGTGTTCTGCTCTATACCTGTCCCTCCCTCCCTCGTTCCCACCCTTCTTTCCTCCTTTCCTTCCTTCCTATTACCTATCCTATAAAAGATGGGATGTTTATTGAGCACATAGTATACACTGTATAAATGTAATCTTCACAGCTGCCCTAGGTGGGTCGGATGATTGTCTTTGGTCTTACTTAAGAATGTGTTGCCCAGGGGTGGACGGGGGAAAAAAAAAAAAAAAAGAATGTGTTGCCCGGAGAGAAGATAGGATTTACCCACGTTCCCAGCTAAAATGGTCGCAGGGACTGGCTGGACCATGCTGTTCTGGGCCAGAGGGGTGCTCCGCTGGCTCTGCAGCCATGGGTCAGGTCTGCGCTTCCCTTGCAGGAGACACTGGGCAGAGTTGCTGAGTCTGGCCTTCCAGCCCTGCTCCTGCAGTGCCTTTACCTCTTCTTTGTCTTTCCTCTGGAAAAGGACGAGCTTTTGGAGAGTGATGTTCAAGTTCAGAGGATGTTTGTGCAGGTGAGTGAGAGGAGGGCTCCCTAGCCCTTGGCCAAGACCTTGCTCTGCTTCTTAGAGATGTTTTCATCTTCCTCAGTCATAGCCCCAAAGTAACTCTGTCCTCCCAGACGGCCAGCTCATCTGTTGGTTCCCAGGCCCAGCCAATGCCAGCAATCCTATGCATTTGGAAAACAGATGTTCTTCTCTCTCTATCTCATTCCTCCCTCTATTGATAGCCCCTTGTTCTCCCCCAGAAAAGCACACAGCTCCTCTTCCTCCTGCACTTGGTCCCCGTAGCTCCCCTTCCTCCAGGGTGCGTTCCCAGGCCCTGTCTGCCCTCCCCAGCATGTGGAGTCCCCGTCCCCGGCCCCCGTGTCCTCTGAAGACAAGCAGGCTAACTGCACTTGCATAAGGGTAACCAACATTTCCCAAGTATTTCCCTTTCGCTCACCTCCCCCACACCTTGCCATGGCCTTGCATCTGTCCCTTCCCCGAGCCCTCTCTTCCATTCCAGGAGGAATGTAGTACTACAGTTCTGATTCCATGTCAGCTAAAGCATGGTCAGTGAAAGTGGTAGTGGGTGAGGGGCTGGCATTGGGACCCTGGGGATCTGGCTCCCAAGAATACTTTGTGAGGTCACCTCCTTCCGCCTCCCAGAAGCTATCTCAGGCTGCTCAACATCAGTGTAATTTCCTGGTGTCCTTCCCCATTTTCCCTATCCTCTCTAACTACCAGCAGCAGCTTTTTTTTAGCAGAACTTCTCACCTCTTTCCCTGCCCCCTTACTGGCCAGTTCTGCTTTCTCAGGCTCCCAGATGCTGCCGTCTCCAGAAGACTCCTCCTGCCTCTCTAGAGAAGACCTTGGCGGTGGGGAGGGAAAGGGGGGCCCTATGTCCCGCTCATCTTTCTGCAGCCAGGGCCTCAGGGCGCCGTCTCACAGAGCAGGTGCTTAAGAGCTTTTGCAAATTTCCGAGTGCATTTGTGCATCGCACACGCACATTCATGCTAGCATCCGTGTGAGAGTCATTCTCAAGCCAGAATCATTGTTATCTGAGCTTATCTCACAAGTTCACTTATGGTAGGTCACCCCTCAAGCTGCATTTGTTGGAAGCTTGGGCATCATTTATCTGTATATAAATCACATTCTCAGTGGTGGCAGGATGCAGTCCTGGGCACTTTGACAAGCCCTTACCATGTGGCTTTCCCGTGTCCTGCAGAGAACTAGTGCAACCCTGCCTTCACGGTTCGATCCATGCATGGGTAGAACACGAGCCAAGTGATAGGCCATGGCTGCGTTCCTTGGGGCTTTCCTTATTTCATTCCACAAAATTATATGGAGCTCCTCCCATGTGCTGCTCTACACCAGACCGGTGGTTCCAGCAGCAAGCATAGTACCCTCTCTCGTAGAGGTGACAGAAAGATGGGGAGGCCAAACAGCGGAAATAACCATGTGATTAAAGAGCAGTGCCCTGATTTTTTAAGTGCTCTGAAGGAAAAAATGGAAGGTGTCCTGGGAAATGAGGACACGGGGACCTGATTTAGAGTAGAGGATGAAGGAAGGCTGTCCAGAGGAAATGGCACTCAACTGGAGTGGAGGGTTGTAGCAGAGGTGTGAAGGGGAAGGAGAGGGGACAGGAGCAGAAATGGTGTTGAAGGGTCCCATGGCCAGCAGATGGGGTCTGGAGCCCAGTTCTGTGGCTGTCCAGCTTGGACTCTGTTACTGAGGTCAGAAGGGGCTAATAGATTCAGATGGAAGGAGCTGTCCATATCTGCTGAAGAAGGAGATCTAGTCAGACCATCCAGAGCCAAAGGGAGGACTGCGCACAATCACCTGAGAGAGGAGGTGGGGCTGGTCTGCACAGAGGTCTGTGAACCATGATTTACCCCAAGTGGCAGGACCATATCAGAAGAACCTTTGGTGGCCACTGGGAGATGGTGGGAGAAGAGGCATGGGGCCCAGAGAGGAAGTTCTAGGATAACTTCTGTGTAAAAGAACAACTCTCTGAGTCAAACCCTTCTTTGTCATTCTGAATTGGAAAGGGTAAAAACTGCTTGCATAAGATTAGGAGTGCAGACCTTAGCCCACCCCCTGTCATCTTTTCTAGATGGTGCTCCTGACCCTGAGGCTCTGAGGCAGAGGGTGACCCATACAACCCATCCTTTGTCCTGAGGCATACTCCTGGGAGCTCTGGAAAAGGAGGGAAGGGATCTATTACAGGAAGGAGGCTTCCTAACTAGGCATCTTTATTTTTTTCCTCCAGATGTTGCTGAACATTTGCTGTGAGTCTCAGGGGCTGGAGAAACTTCTATCAGGAAATGAGCTTCAGTCTCTAGTGATTGCCACTACCTGTCTTCGGGAACACAGCTGCTGTTTTTGGAAGGAACCCACCTTCTGTGTGCTGAGGGCAATCTCCAAAGCCCAGAACCTCGGCATCATCCAGTACTTGCAGGGTATGACCCCGGGAGACCGGGGCTGGGATGTGGGCCCACTTTCTACAACGAGACCCTGGAACCAAAAAAGGCATGGCCAAACAGCGTCTTCACAGATGCCCATCTTGGCCTAGTAGATGACCCTTTCTTGGTTTCCTTCATAAGAGTGTGTTTATTATTTATTTTGGTGCTCCCTTGGAGGAGGAAAGGAAAGGGGAACTCATTTACTGCGCACATGCTGTCAAACACAGGCTGTGCTGGACCCATTTGTGTGCTATCTCATCTGTGTCTTTGAGATGGATATTAATGCCGTTTCGTAAAGTGGAAAATGGGGGCCAAGGGTGGGAAAACTTGCCCAGCTCCCAGCTCACAACCCCGAGAATCACATTCTAAACCCAGAGATGTCCAATCCAGAGCTTCCGGCTCTGATCTGGGCAGCATATGTAGTGCTGATGCCATAGATTCTGGAACCAGACAGCTGGGCTGTGGACTCCAGGTTTGTCCTCCTGTTCTCATAGCTGAATGACCTTGAGCCCTCAAGTGCCTGTGTGCCTCAGTTCTTTTATCTGTAAAATGGGGGTAGTAAACCCTTGCCCTGTGATCGGTCTTCTCTCTGGGGCGGGGCGTCAGCTGGGGACAGCTGAGAGAGTTCAACAAATCCACTATTGTAACTGAGCCTGGGACCAAACGTCAGCCCCAGGTTAGGGATTTAAGGTAAGGCCAGGGCCCAGCAGTAATGGCCCTTAGCTGAGCTGGGCCTGAGATGATCAGCAGCCCAGGTAACCCCCACAGGCTAGAGTCAGAGACCCCTGAGAAAGAGCTGCATGTGTTGGTGGCAGGTGTCTCTCACTGTACCATTATTAACAAAAGAAAATTTAGACCTCGGTGGGGGAGGCTGCTGCCTGGAGCCCTGAGCCCAGGACTCCCCTAGGTTCGGAATGAGTAGTTCCCATGGAACTTCTCTGAAGAGAAGTTCTGGAAGAAAGGGCTGGCCTGGTGGTTCCCTGTAAAGCCCGCAGCTCTTGGGGCTGACCTGCCCAGCATGCAGACTTTGGGGGGCATCTGAAGCCTTGTTGCTGAGGAACAGAGCAAGTGTGATCTTGTAGACAATTTTCCTGATCCACTGGTGTGTCCTTCCTGGCACTCAGAAGAGCCTTCCACCGGTGAAAGAGCTCTAAAAGTAGTGATCCCTCAAATTGCAAATCCAGTGACCTCTCTCTTATGATTCAAATCTTCGCGTGGCTTCTCACAGCTCTGGGTAACTGACAAGTTCCATGGCTAGGGCCCACACTTCTGGGCCCTGGTCCTGCCTTCCTCCTTTCCCTTGCAGCCCACACTTCTGGGGGCCAACCCCCCTGGGTACTTTAGTAGCAGAAACACACCACCTTTTCATCCCTCACTTTCTTCGACTCCCATATCCTTCCCTGAACTTTTAATCAGGTTGATCTCTGTGCATCTTCTGTGCTGCTTCCTTAAGAAGGTCTTTCTCAGTGCCCAGCTCTGGCACTGTGTTGCTCACGACCTGACAGACCCGCCCGTCCCACCCCTGCTGCATGATGGGAATTAGGAGCAGCCGGCCAAGACACTTCCTTCCTCTTCCTGTTTCACCTACTCTCCATCTGGGTCTGCAGAATGGGGCTCTTGGGACGGCACTTCCCATGGGGGAAACTTCTTGACTCAAGACCCAGTAGAAAAGTGTTTTGAATTAATTCGCATTTACATCTTGATATGTACAGTTTAAAGGAGGGTGGGGAGCAGACGGCTGTGGCAGAAAAGCTACGACCTCCAAACTCAATAAGGTTTTCTTCCTGCAGCCATGGATTGCATCAAGCTCTCCCTTCAGAACCTCTCCAAGCTTGCGGACAGCCTCCCCGCTCCTGAGGTGAGCGAGGCAGTGAACCTCATCTTGGGCTTTGTGAAGGACTCCTACCCCGTCTCCTCAGCTCTGTTCCTAGAGTTTGAGAATGGAGAGGGCTACCCTCTGCTCCTTAAAGTGTTACTTCGGTAAGTGGTTGTCCTTGGTGGGGGAGAAATTGCCAAAGCCTAGGTCTTTTGGGATGGGTTCAGCCACGGGAAGCGGCCTTCCCATGAGCAAATGCTGTAGCTCTTCACAGGTTTATATGGATTCCGAGTGCATGTCCTTATACCCAAGGCTGCCATTTGCAGAGTAACTTTTATCCAGGGTGCTCCCCTTGCCTTTTGGTGCTAGGCTGGTGGAGACCTCTGGGGGACTGGCATTTCCTCGGCATCCCTGTGACGAGTGCCAGGAGCCAACATGGCTGCCCCATCCAAGAAGCCCACAGAGCTGGCCTCGTCTGTTCCCACAGGTATGACGGGCCAACACAGAGTGAAGTGGACCCCCACCTGGAGGAGCTCCTTGACCTGGTGGTGTGGCTGACAACCTGTGGGAGGTCAGAGCTGAAGGTGTTTGACAGCGTCACGTACCCTCAGCTGGAAGGCTTCAAGTTCCATCATGAGGCTTCTGGTGGGTCATCTTATGTCTCTGGGGGCCTGGCAGTGACTGACACTGTGCCCTGCAAATGCTACACTGGTCTATTACTGCCTCTTTGTGGAGAAGTGAATACTTGGCTCCTGTCAGGGATTTTGTTGTGCCTCTGTGGAGATTACCTATGGATTTAAAATCTCCCCCTTTTAGATTTTTTTTTTTTTATGTCTTGGTGGGTTTCAAAGGAAATATTTGCTTAATAAAGGCAAAGACCCTCTCAGGTAATGGAGGGAGCCTCTGACCTCCACCTCCACCTCTGCTATGACGTACTCTGCAACATGTGTTCCTATACAAGTACTGATGTCCCCAAGACAGCCACCCAGGTTCAGAGACAGGGCCACCTCCATTCTTTGAGATTGATTGGTTATTTGATTGATGAACTCTGTGCAGCAAAGGCACCAGTGGGACAAGGCAGGTATCTGCTCCCTAAAACATCACTGTAGAGACAGTCCCACATATATGGAATCATGATCTCCTCTGTAACTGGCTGATAAATGCATCGGGGACAGTGGTGACACCAGGCAGGTGGGTCAGGTCTGTCCGGGTTACTCAGAAAACTCAAAGTGGGGTTTCAAGGCTCGGAGTGGATCGCCCAGGTAGAAAGGAAGAGGATAAAGTTCAAAGGCAGAAAGTACAGCCTGAGGAAAGACATGGGGACTACACACATCTGGGTGAGTGTGGGGAAATGGGCACAGAGACGGGCACAGACCAGAGCGTGGTTTCAGGAACATCTCTGGAGTCTGAGGCAGGGAGGGCCGGAGACAGGGAGTTCTCTGGTGGAGAGTCTCCTGGGCCAGAAAAGATGAGGCTTTATCCTTGAGCTGGAGAGAAAGGAGGGGGTGGTTTCTAAAGGTGTCTCTGTTTAGTCGCTTGGCTAGAAATGAAACTGACTTTGCTTAGTAATCTTTAACATCATTGAATTTTAATTGATTAAAACCAACCCTTCAGCCCAGCACTCCCCAAAGGAACTATAATGCGAGACATACCACATAATTTTAAATGCCCTGTAGCCATATTTAAAAAAATAAGAAGAAACAGGTCAAGTTATTTTTCATAATATATTTTATTTAACCTAATATATCCAAAATATTACCATTTCAGCGTGTGGTCAATATAAATAATTGTTAGTGGCATTCTTTATGCTGCAGCTTAGAAATCCGCTGTCTATTCTTACACTCACAGAACACACCAGTTGGGTGGCTATATTTCTAGGGCTCCGTGAGTCACCATGTCTTGGACCAGTGCAGCTCTGGCCTTACTCACACTCAGCACAGCCGGCTTTTCTGGACTTCTCATAGACATTCACCTACAGGAGCTGGAAAATAGAAACTATAAATGGTATTTCCCAACGGTAATGCAAGCATGTGTTTCTAGGCATGGGCGGGAGAAATGACCTGCAGGATTATTCCCTCTTTCATCTTCAGGGGTGACTGTGAAGAATCTTCAGGCCTTCCAAGTCCTACAGAACGTTTTCCACAAAGCCAGCAACCCCATCCTCTGCACCAAAGTCCTAGCAGCCATCAGGATCATGTGGGCCTGGAATGCCCGTAACTTCTTCCTGCTGGAGTGGACCTTGCAGCCCATCTCGCAGTTTGTGGAGATCATGCCCCTGAAGGCAGCCCCAGTGCAGAAGCAATTCTTCCAGCTGCTGGAGGCCCTGGTCTTCGAGCTGCATTATGTGCCCCACGAGATCCTGGGGAAGGTGCAGTGCCTGATCAAGGAGAGCCCCGAGTCACCGTGCTCCCTGGTGGCCCTGCAGAGTGTCCTCAAGATAGTTGGCAGGGACCTTCTCTTCACTGACATCTTCCGGGACTCTGGTCTCCTTGGCTTGCTGCTGGCCCAGCTGCGGAAGCGGGCCAAGATCCTGAGGAAGTCAGGTGCCTCCCAGGAGTGTCGGGAAGGGTAGGGGAGCAGGTTGGTGGTGCGGGGGGAGGGGTCTGTGTGCTATTCTGCCGCCCAGCAACATAACAGAAAAAGTGAGTGTGCCCATGTCACCTGGAATGGGGGGTGGTGGTTGGAGAAGGTATCTTGGGGCACATGGCTTTGCAGAGTGGACAGTCCTCTATTTCCTGTAACCAGATTGATCTTCCCCATGAAGAGGCCAGAGAGATGGGTGTACCTTTAAACAGACTCATGGGGCTAACTCAGGCCTGGTGAATTCTCAGCTTGCAGATATTTCCTGCACTGAATGGTGTCTGAGTATGTAGATGGAGAGATGTCAGGGAGGCAAGGGTGCTCCCAGAGTCCTGGGGTTCTGGCAGGGCAGAGGGTATGGCATGTGTGTGTTAGGGGGTCAGGGGTACACAGCCTCCTTTAGGTGCTATCAGGCCCAGTGTTCTCCCACCTGGAGCAATGATCACTGCTATCCAGTTTCCCCCTCCAAGTCTTGTCCCACTTCTTGTGTTTTGTGTCCTTTTGGGCTCTGCACCTGTGGCTCCTTGGCAACATCCCTTCACCCCTCCCTTGGCCCTGTGCTCTTAACCTCAGCAGCTTCTGCTTCCCCCCGGCGACTCCAGGCTCCCTTCTGTCCAGGCAGGAGTGCTGGCTGGGCCTTCTCACTGCCTGACCACAGCCCCAGGCACACACCCTGATGTGATTTGTCCACGACCCCCACCTCCACCAACCTGCAGATAGGAGCCAAGGTTTGAGAACGCCTTTCCCAGTTCTTGGCTTTCCCGCATCTGCCCCTCTGGGCTTTCAGCCTGGAGAAGTCACACCAGGACACTTAATCCAGCCACTTACCTCTCCCCAACATTTGGCCTTTTCTCCTACGGCACTGGGTGAGAGGGACTGAGGGCTCTCTAGCCATTGGCTGCTTTTGGAATTGGGCTTCAGACTCAAGCTGATGTCATCCGTTTGTCTGTTCCCTGGGCCTGTCTGAGGGGAGGAAGCTGAGGGAGAGAGTGTGGGCACTGGGGCCAGACAACCCTGGATGGAAATCCTGGTTATGTTACTTAGGAGCTGAGTGATCCTGAGCAAGTTCCTTAACCTCTCTGAGCCACTTTCCTCCTGTTAAATGGGTACAAGAATGTCTACATCATAAGGATGTGGTCAGCATTAAATGAGGAAGTACGGAGGTCCCCTTGCTGTGCCTGGAGCATCACAGGTGCTCAAGAAATGTTAGTTGTCTTCTCCCCTGCAGCTTCTGTGGCAATGCATGGAGGACTGAGACAGACAGGCAACTCTGGGATGCCTGGAAGGACTCACATCTCCCTGGGAGTGTTTGTAAATCTGGTCAAGATGGTGGATGAGGAGATCCCTGCTTTACATATCTGGGCCTCTGGGCTGGGCCTTGGAGACCGTCCCACCACGTGCTTTTTTCCACTGCCCTTCACATAGTGTTTTTGTTTAATGTTTCTGTGGTACCCTACTGTGTAACGCTTCCCAGCAGCCTGCTGTTGAATTTGCTTTTAAATCCCATCTCCAGACCTATGACCATTCCCAGCAGAATTTGAACTTTTTTGTGAGGTGATGTATCCGGTCTTACTTTTTGCTTTCTATTGTCATAGTTTTATAACGCTAGTTGTATTTCATTGTTATAATGTCTCATGTCTAGTGTTTCTGTTGTTTCTTATTTTTCTTAGATACTTTGTCTCTTGGTTAATAAACTCTACCTTTATCCACTCATTCAATCATTCCCCGAATAGGTGTTGGGCTTCCCTCTTGTGTCAGGCACTTTTCTGGCACTCAGGATTCAACAGTGGACACACAGGCCTGGTTTGCCCTCATGAATCTAATGGAAACACCCATCCATTCCAGAAACTGGCAAGCCGCTCCATACCTCAGATGGGAGCTGGCAGTCCTCCCTCCCAGGCATGAATGGCAAAATACAAAACTGTCCAGAGGAAATTCAAAGAGGTGGGCTTTGGACATTGTGTAGAGTAGTGGTTCTCAAAGAGTGGTCCTTAGACCAGCTACATTAACATCATCTGGGAACTTATAAAAAATGCAATTATAGCATCCCACCTAAGACCTCCTTAGCTAGAAATTCTGGGGAGGAATTCCAGCTTCCGATTTTAGCATGCCCTCCAGGGGATTTTGTTGTGCTTAAGTTGGAACTCCAACGGTTATAAGGAGTAATAGGGTGACTTCTTCTGAATTAGGATGCACACTCTCTTAAAATAGAAGCATTATGTTCTCATTTCCTCGAGAGTATAGGAAACTAATGGAATCAGAGATTTGGGGTCATACCAGGTATACTTAAGATTTTATGTATTGCTTCTTAAATATGGCAGGAAACAAAGAGTCCATGCTTGGTGTTCAGGATACAGAAAGAGAACTGACCTGTGTGATGCTGAGAACTGTGGTCACACTTCTGAGAGGCTCAGTACGGAATGCAGGTAAGGGGGCGGGCACCAAACTCATTTTGTCACTGCTGGGCAAAACATTAACTGTCTCCCATGATTTATGTCCGTGTTGTCAGGTTTAGCCAAGGAATAACCAACATGAAAGCTGTGGCTAATGTCCGTTTGCTGGTTGATGTCCCGTGATTATCAGTAACTTGGTAGACATCTTGGTTGAAAAATTTTACTTTTAAGATCATTGAATAGGGTTGGGATAGAGATATCCTAAAGTTATGAGACCACATAAATTACCCTCTTTCAAGTAAAATCTATGAATATCTTGCTGCACGGACTAAGTTGCTTTTCAAAAAAATCAGAATTGTAAAACGTAGGTAAAGAAAACAAACCATTTTTAAGAGGCTTCCAGCCCCTGATGAGCTCAGTAGCTCCATCCATACAATATATTTTTAGCTTCTTAGGATCCTGTGACTTCCATGTTTTTTTAATTTGGTGCATTAACAATGCATGTGTATACGTTATGTTACGAAGCAGATGTATCAACAAAGTGACATCATTGGTTTGGTGATTTGGGGTGTTTTTATCTGAGCGCCTCATAGATCAACGATACCAAATGTGAATAATTATTTCATATCCAGAAACTCTGTAATGTTAGACTATCAAAGATTCCCTGGCAGTACTGGTTAAAATGCATATTCCTAGCCTCACTCCCAGAGATTTAATTAGCAGCCAGTCAAGGTAGAGCTCAGGAATCTTTTTTTTTTTTTTTTTAAGTGGGCTTCATGCCCCACATGGAGCCCAGTATGGGGCTAGAACTCAAGGTCATAAGATCAAGAGTCAGATGCTTAACTGAACGAGCCACCCAGGCAACCCAGGGAACTACGTTAAAACAGTCTTCCAAGATGATTTCCATGTAGGGATGCCTGGCCCATAAGTGGTGAATTCCTGTCTCATGGAGCCAGCTCAAGTCTACATCATGCCGCTTGAATGATCTGGTTACTTCCTAGTTCTTATTCCACACATGATCACACCACATGTCAATCCTGCAGAGGAAATTCTTAGGATTACTTTTAAACAAACGTACGCCACTAGTCAAACTTCTTTCATCCGTCCCCCCAATCCAGGAAACTAGCTCAGAATTATATATGTTCATAACTTTAATTCTGGTTTGTTTTCAATACGAATTTTGGCAGAGAAGAGAGAGACTCGCCCTTGGCCCTGGATTAGGGTATGAACTGGCAATAAAGGATAGAGGTACGATCTAGTTAACGTTTATATTAGGTGGGTTTCTAAGAAAAATTCACTGAAAAATTTTTAAAAAGAAATTTCAAAAGCAGAATTTTCATTGAAATAGAATTAAAAAAAAGGTATTTTGTTTGTTTTTGTTTAATTTCTCCACAGCTTCAGCTTCTCTTTTCCTCTTCTCATTGTAACAGTGGGTATAGATTTTGAAAATAAAAAAAAAATTCTCTATTGGGCAGAGGACACACATATAAAGGGCACAAAACACACTTGGATGTTGTAAGAAAAAGCCTTCTTGTCATTAAAATGAAGGTGCTGAGGCCCCATGGCTCTAGCCCCATACTGTCTGTCTGGTCCTCAGTTGTCCTCAAAGACCATGGCATGGTGCCCTTCATCAAGATCTTCCTGGATGATGACTGGTACCGGGGAGCCTCGCTTAGCATCCTGGAGCAGCTGTCTGTCATCAATGCTGAGGAGTACATGAGCATCATTGTGGGCGCTCTCTGTTCGTCCACTCAAGGCGAGCTGCAGCTGAAGCTGGATCTTCTGCAGGTGATGTCAGGTCTCCCTTTGCGACGGGCTTGCCCATGGACAGGTGGCCAGTGACGGGCGTTCGCACGGGGCATTCCCTGGGTCACTGTATTGCCCGCGTAGGGTAGCACTAGCTGCTATCGCCAAGGAATCCCACATCCTTGGTAGCCCTGTTGCGCGTTCCCTTTCTCTGTCTAGTCCAACCAGGGGTGGAGGGGGATGCCATGCAGGGACCCCTGTCACCTGTGCATCTCATCCAGCCAGGAGACAAAGGAGCACGGAGAGTTGCATGAGGTGTTCTGCAGCCCTGCAGTCCTGCAACGGGCTCACTTCTGTTCAACTTTCTTTGCGCACAACTCATTTAGATATGAGGGGAGCCATGAAGGTAGTCAGGCTGGGCGGCGACTTTGTAGCGACACGGTCAGCTGGGGAAGTGGAGTCTGAGTCAGTGGTGGCCAAGCAGCTGCCTTGTTTACTTGACCAGCATTCAGTGAGTGTCTACCTCCTGGCAGTGGAGGGCCTGGGACACACAGCCATCCTCGAGCTCCCAGACTGGGGCTCATAGGAAGTGAGCCATCATTGCAGTGCTGTGCGGTGATGCCCTGGAAAGTACTGGGCACAGGCTTAGCCATGGGAGCAGAGGACTAGGAGAGCCCAGTCCCGCCCCTTGTGTTGAGGAAGGCTTGCACAGGGGTTACTGGAGCTAGGACGAGGATGTAAGGGGCAGGCAGAGACCTGGCCACGGAGGACACAAGGGGAGGAGTAAAACCAGGATGTCACTTGTGGGTAATCAAGACAAGTGTAGGTTTTTGTTTCTGAAATACTGTTAAGGATCATCAAACAATCATAACACAGTTAAAGTGGTAACACCTGTCCTCATCACCATTCCTTCAACAATTCTGTTGTTGTCGATCTTCCATTCCTTTTGTCTTTGGGGCCTTACACATTTTTAAAGATTCCCTTTCTTTTGTTGTATGCTGTTGAAGAGAAGAGCAGAGGAAAATGCGAGTATCCCCCAGGGACCTCTCACATACATGGGCAGCACAACTCCATGCACAACACACGCTCATGTCTCCGTGACATACTGCCTTTGATCACCAGCGAATTTAAAAAAAAATACAGAGTTGCTCTGACTTCCAAAATTAAACCAGCAGACTTACTCAGCCATGACTATTTCTGTACAAAACCCTTTTAACATTTAGAGAATGGTGCTTGGTTTCTTTTACCTACTTGCTTCTCCACAGAGCCAGTCACTGTCATGTGACTGCCGGAGCTGTGTGTTCCCATCGCCACATGGCCTGAGCCGGCGTGCTTGGCATGGCCAAGGCATCACGAGAAGCCAATCCCAAAGGGACAGAATGACCATAATTACCACACATTTCACAGATGACCAGAACCTAAGCAGCGATTTAGTTGTAGAGCCAAAGAAATCAGCTTTAAATGAAATAAAACCAGACTTACGTGAAACAAAAAGTTAACTCTTTTGAAAGATAAAGATACTAGAGTCCCATGATCATGTGAGGTAAAGGGACAGAGAGGGCTGTGAGAGAGAGAGTAAGGGGGAGAGAGATATCAAGAACTAAAGGCAATTTACAGCTTGGGAAGACTTTAGCTTTCTGTGATCCAGTCTTAATGTTCCAGCATAGACATGGCCAGAAAGCATCTAATACAAATTATGAGTTGAGCTTGAGTCTAAGACTAATGACTTAAAATCTGGGGATCTTTCCTCTTTAGCATGCTGTTATTACATTTTTTTCTCACATGTCTATCTTCAGCCTGATTCACATGAGCCTTATGCTGATAAGCAACAAAGAAGGCATATGACCAAAGTCGTGAGGACTTAGGTTTCCTGGAGGATGAATCATTGAAATCCCCATCTGTTTCTGGCATTTTCATATTGCAAGTCCGACAGATCCACAGAGGGGAAAGTTTTGACTTTCCTTTGCTTGGCAAGAACAAGTGTTTCTATGTCCGTTACAGAGTACTCTGCTTTGCTCATGAAAAGTTCATCTTCTTTGCTGTGTAGCCCAGAGGCACCTTATTGGAGTCCTGTTACCCTTGGGTAATAGGACTGCATTTCTAGAATTAGCAATGTAAAGTCTTTCTGGTGTTTTACAGATTCAATATAGTTTCAGAATCATGCTATCAAGGGATTAACACTGTGTAAGCTTATTTAACAAAGTCATACCCTGTTGTTCAACGTGCCATCTTCTCCGTGGGTGCCGGGTCACTGCTGCGCGGTTGCAGGGTGGCGCCTGGAGCTGCCTAGGGCTCTCCCAGGACCAGGGCCGTAGACACGCTGTTGCTCCGGTGGGTGGTGCAGAGGCGTGGGGCTGCTCCCGCCTGACCCACCACTGAGTCATGTGAGTGACTCTCCAATGTTCGCTGGAGTCTGATATAAAATCTGTATTTTTTCTAAACATCTTGGGAATCCACTGGAACTTTAGAAACAAAGATGGCAAATTAGCTCTTTCTGGCTGGATCTCCCTCTTTAGAAGCTGAGCGTGGACTCTGCCCGAAGCACTGGGCCTGCAAAGTGAGTCAGATGTAGGATGAGGGGGAAATGATGGGAGTGGGGTGGCCTCAAAGGTAGACCTCCCCCTCCAAGTTTTGCCATCTCTGACATGCATTTCTATCCAGGTGTGACCTTCACTTCCTTCACTTCCTTTCCCTGAGGCAGTTGGGCAGCAGCTTTGGAGGAGAGAATTCCTCCAGAAACACCCGCCTTCGGGCAGTTTCCAAAATCCAGGTGGTACTTCATACCAACACACAAGCACATGTGACTTCACCACCTAATCCTGGCAAATGATAATTGAGTTAAAGAATAATGTAAGCAAATGAATTTCCTCCCCACTGCCAGTGGGACTGTGATTGGGTTATGCACAAATTCAGATTGATCTGCTAATATACATTTAGCTGTTCAACTCTGGGCTTAATCACATTACCTCACGAGTCTTCCAGCATGACACATGGAAAATTATGAGGAATAACACATAATAGAATGTGAAATAAATCCGGTTAGTCCTAATGTCGTTAACGCTTTGCAGCAGACATCCATTTTATAGATTCAAGCTGGAGGGATACTAACTCCGAGACGATGACATGGTAACTGAGTTAAGGAGGAGAAAATGTGCTTAACGTTGACCTTTCTTGAAATGTGTCAACCCTAGCCTGATTACTTTGACTTCAGCTGATTAAATTTACTCCCTTCCGCAGGCTTGCAAGCCCTGGTGATGCATTGCCACGCAAAGTTGAATGACAGTAATGGAGACCCTCCTCCTAGGCCCCCAGTTCCTGACAAATCGTTTCCCGAAGTAGCACAGTATTTATTTTCCTTTATGATAGAAATGTTTCTCTTTAGTTGCTATGAAATTAAGCCTTTGTAATTGGATTTTGGACTCTTTACTTTATGACTCTGCAAATATGAAATTAACCCCATCCCAAGAAATAATAGAGCCGTCTAAGTTCTAATGAGATTACCCCCATTTTAGATAATGATTTTGAATTTAATAAATCAAACAAAGCAACAATTAAGGACAGCCATTTCTTTCTCCTCCCCCCTCCCAACAGGAGGAGAAAGGAGCCACCTAGGAATTACAGGGCACAGACCCTCTGCGAGACATGGGTCTTAAGAAGGACTTCCATTGGGTTGCTCTGTTTTAAAAGTATCTGCTCTCAACACTCTGAAGTATAGAGTCCTTTTGAACGATACCCGGTGTCACATTAGATGATTGGAAGGTGGCTTCTTGGATAAGAGGGGAGTTTGGTGGTCACCCAGTGTCTGTAATTTGATTTGTTTGTTTTTTGATCATTTTCCTTTTTTCATACTTGTTTGTCATGTGTCCTTGTGATAAATGGCATAGTTTCATTCAATTCATTTACCTTCAACAACCTCCTACTAGTTCTAGGAGACGCAGAAAGCACTCCTATCAGTTTAGAGGGTTTAACATCCTAGAACTTAAAATTTCCCAATGTCTTGGTGATTGGTGACCAGGCAAAAGGCCATCCTCTACCATATACCAGTGCTCATCCTTTTACATGGAATGTCAGTTGGTGGGAAGAGACCACCACCACCAACACACTTCAAGGTCAGAGTGGGTTTCCAACTTGGTGGAAGAAATAATATTCTGTTGGGAGTGAGTTGCTCATATAAGGCAGGCACAGATGTAGCAGATCTGTGTGTGGCTTGTCCTGGCCCCAAGTCGCATGGTGGTGTGTAGGGACAGGCTGCTGCTGCTATGGTGCTGTCAACATGGAGAAAGGCCTTGCTTGTCTTGAAAGCTTAGTGTTGCTCCAGTGGCTAGTGGGGAGACATGGGGTTGAACTTCACACTCATTAAGCATCACCCTTCTGGAGAACCTGCTTTAACAGTCTATATGCTTCTTTTGAGGACCTGCCTATAAAATCAAATTTCCCTGGGTTTTGAGCCAGATTCAGAAGTAGTTAGGCCATATATTTTCCTTCCTTCCTTCCTTCCTTCCTTCCTTCCTTCCTTCTCTCCTTTCCTTCCTTCCTTCCTTCCTTCTCTCCTTCCCTTCCTTCTCTCCTTCCCTTCCTTCCTTCCTTCCTTATCTCCTTCCCTCCTTCCTTCCTTCCTTCTCTCCTGCCCCCCTCCCTCCCTCCAAAACATTTGTCGAATACCTAATGTACACCACACACTGTCCTCAATGAATGGCACATTGTAAGTGCTCAATAAATGTTTGATTTTAGAAGGAAACAAAAGTTTGTCTAGGAATAGCTCAGTGATCTAGAGAAGGCAGATTCTGCCATGAATGTCATGATAGCCTAAAATTCACACATGCTCTAAGCATAAAGAATTATGCTTCCTTCCGTTAAACGTTTCTCTCCTCTACCTTGATTCCTTCATATTTTCACACCAGATATCAAGCAGATTCACTTTCCCACCTTTCTTCCTTTAACAGAGGCACTCATGTTTGCATAGAAAGGGAGACAAATAATGATAAGCTACCTTATGGCGATTTCACTGTGAGTCTTTGCAGTACAAGGGATGGCTCATCCCACTCATTCAGCAAACATTTATGAAGTGTGTGCTACATTCCATGGCACAGAGTTGCCTGATCTCACGGAGCTTCAGTCTAGTGGAGGGCTGAGACAATTTCCAAGTCACTTCATGGCAGTGTGAAGAGAGTCTGGTTCAACAACGGACAGGGGGCTGTGTGAGCCCTTGACCTGGGGGCAGTATAATTCAGCGGTCAAAGGACACTTCCTGGAGGGAGATGCACCGAAGTTAAGACCCAGGATAGGAAACCAGTACAAACCCTGAGCATAGGCCTTGGCAGCATTCATTTGAAAGGAGGCACTGAGGGGAAACCTAACTAAAAGGAAGAGGAACAAGGTACACATGGTTTCAGAATCACTCTCAGGTAGCCCGCTGCTCCCACAACTTGACCAGGGAAGAGCACGCGTGAGGCCTTGGTAGTGGTGTGCGGGAGCTTGGCCTTAACAAGCTGCCTCCTGGGCTTTCCTCATTTATATCCTGTTGGTGTTTCAGTCTCTCCTCAGGATCCTGGAGACCCCCAAAGGCCGTGCTGCTTTCAGAGTGTCCAGTGGCTTCAATGGACTCTTGTCGCTGCTCTCTGACCTGGAGGGGTCGCTCCAGGAGCCCCCGCAGCAGACGTGGGCGATGGTGTCCCCCAGCCAGACCCTGGACCTGGTCCTGCACACCCTTTGTGCTTTGTCCGCGGCATTGCACCTGGACCCCGTCAATGGTGACTTCTTCAAGAGGAATGGGCTTTTTGAGAAGTTGGCTGAAGACCTCTGTTTGCTGGGCTGTTTCGGAGCCCAGGAGGAAGAGGGAGCCCCTCGGCACTCCGGGGCGGACACAAAAGCCAGGCCATTTGCTGATTTGCTGAGTGTGGCCTTTACCTCTAGGAGCCCATTCCCACCCAAGATACAGAGCTGCCTCCAGATCCTCAGCTTTCTGGACAGCATGGCCAGTGGCACCCTTCACCTACGCAGAGACCTGAAGGAGTCCCCAAGGGCTGGGCAGGACCCAGCTGTGAATGCCCAGAAGAAAGAAGCTGGTAGGGATGCCCAAGGCAACTTCAAGCAGTGGCCAGACATGGAGGAGAGGTAGAGCTTTGCCGCCTGCTTCTGTAATTGTGTCACGAGTGCCTTTCTCTCTCCCGTTTTCTCCCCAATATCCTGTGCATGTGTAGTAGGTCGGAAGCCTAGACCTACAAACTAGGGCGGTGGTGGGGGGGTGTGTGGGAGGGTGCACAAATGTCACGTGTCTTTCTTCCCTTTAAATCAAGTTAACTTTGACTCCAATCTCCTCTACTGTGGGAACTGGCAGAGAACTAATCTGAGTCAATATGTGGTTAGAGGATGCTTTTGAGTTATACAAGAACTGGGGGGCTTCTCAGATCTTGAAAGCCAAGGGCAGAACTCTGCCGATAAGCTCACTTTCTCCATCGCCATCTTTGCTGCTGCTCCGGGGAGGCTTGGTGCCTGTGCCCAGCCACCCTGCTGTCCTGGGCAGCCTTTGCCCCACCCGTGCCTCTGCTCTGCCAGAGATGAGGTCATTTGGCTTGCAGGATAACCACAGTAACCTTTTCTACTGTTCATTCTGGCTGCTTCCACTTCTCGTAACAAAGACAGTCATCTCTGCTCACCTCTCAGGCCCATTCCTCCATGAGCCCAGACTTTTGTAGACAACGCTTTACTTTCATTCCTGCAAAACAGACTTCCATTAAAGCGATTGAGCACAAAGAACACTGCTCCTTCCTTTGGAATTGCAGGGGAAGAAAATGAAAGAACATAACAGCAATAGTGGGTTATCGTTTTTTTTTCTTTTTAAGATTTTATTTATTTATTTATTTAAAAGAGATCACAAGTAGGCAGAGAGGCAGGCAGAGAGAGAGGAGGAAGCAGGCTCCCTGCTGAGCAGAGAGCCCGATGTGGGGCTTGATTCCAGGACCCTGGGATCATGAACTGAGCCGATGGCAGGGGCTTTAACCCACTGAGCCACCCAGGTGCCCCAAAGGGTGGGTTATCTTTTTTATTCTCCTTAGGTAGCAATGACAAAACACAAATTAATATTGCAATAAACTATCTTGCTTTCTACCTCTCCATACTGTCTGACACTTGCTGCCATGGGACTCCCTTCTGAGAGACATTGTACCCATTTATCCAAAAATGTTGGATTGGCCATACAGCAGTGCTGGGGGTTGTTGGTGAGGGGGACGAATGACAAATCTCCAACCACTTAGATAATCATATCATTGTTCCTGTTTCTCCAGCTAATCTGCTAAATTAATTGGTTTTCTAACCTTGCATTTGCACAGACACCAACTTGCTCATGAAGTATTTATTCCTGCCTTTGATTTGCTGATTTTTTGAAAAGGACTTTTGTTCATGAGAAAGATTGGCCTTTCACACTCTTTTCTTGACTATTTTCACTATCGAGTTTATGGTAGGCGCCTAAAGTGAGTCGGGCAGTGTTGTCTCTTCTATTCTCTGGAAGAGTTATATAAATAAAGATCACTGTTCCTATTCCTTAGCTTTGTGACAGAATTTGCCAGTGAAAACCTCATAAGCCCCATGTTTCCTTGTAAGAAGATTTATTTTTGTGAGAATTAACTTATATTTCTTCTTGAATCATTCTCAGTAATTTTTCGAGTTCATTTTCCCATTCTGAGTTCTAATTTACTGGCTGGCATAAATAAGGCTGTTCCCAATATCCTTTTAACTTTTTGCACCTGACATCATTTGCTGCTTTTCTTTCCCCTGCACCCCAACACCCCAGCATTTTTGACAGATTTTTATTTATCAGTGTGTCTCAGGGGCCAACTTCCAGCTTTTCCTATCTCTCATACGTATGCTTTCTAATTCTGTTTTCATTTGGTTGTTCTTATTATGTCCTCTACTTTCTTTGAGTTCATTCTGGTATTCTTCTCTTTAATTTAATTGATTAGGAGACTTTTTAAGTGCAAATTTCTGTCACTTTACTCGAGCTGTATCATGCAACTTTCATTATGTTGCACTTTCGATATTATTTAGTCCTAAATATTTTAATTTCCTTTCTGACTTGATTCTTGAGTCTTATTTGAATTATGAATTTCCAAAGTTACAGAGTATTTTTGGTCATCTTTCATTGTTGTTGAGTTCTAATTTTATCATCATGAGAGAAGGTGGGCTGTATGATGGCAATGCTCTGAAATTAGTTGAACTTGACCTTGTGGCCTTCCATGTGACTAATCTTCATAAGTGTTCCATGAGTGCTTGAAAAGAATGCACATTTTCCAGTTGTAACACTCAGTGTTCTATTTCTGTCCTTTACATCAAATTCATCTATTGTCTTCTTCAAATTTTCAGATTATTTAATCTGCTTGATACATCAGTTACTACGCTGTGTTAGATATTTTTTTTTACATTTTTTTAATTTTAATTTTAATTTTTAGCATAACAGTATTCCTTGTTTTTGCACCACACCCAGTGCTCCATGCAATCCGTGCCCTCTCCAATACCCACCACCTGGTTCCCCCAACCTCCCACCCCCCGCCGCTTCAAACCCCTCAGATTGTTTTTCAGAGTCCATAGTCTCTCATGGTTCACCTCCCCTTCCAATTTCCTCAAACTCCCTTCTCCTCTCTAACTCCCCTTGTCCTCCATGCTATTTGTTATGCTCCACAAATAAGTGAAACCATATGATAATTGGCTCTCTCTGCTTGACTTATTTCACTCAGCATAATCTCTTCCAGTCCCATCCATGTTGCTACAAAAGTTGGGTATTTATCCTTTCTGATGGAGGCATAATACTCCATAGTGTATATGGACCACATCTTCCTTATCCATTCGTCCGTTGAAGGGCATCTTGGTTCTTTCCACAGTTTGGTGACCGTGGCCATTGCTGCCATAAACATTGGGGGTACAGTTGGCCCTTCTTTTCACTACATCTGTATCTTTGGGGTAAATACCCAGTAGTGCAATTGTAGGGTCATAGGGAAGCTCTATTTTTAATTTCTTGAGGAATCTCCACACTGTTCTCCAAAGTGGCTGCACCAACTTGTATTCCCACCAACAGTGTAAGAGGGTTCCCCTTTCTCCACATCCCCCCCAACACATGTTGTTTCCTATCTTGCTAATTTTGGCCATTCTAACTGGTGTAAGGTGATATCTCAATGTGGTTTTAATTTGAATCTCCCTGATGGCTAGTGATGATGAACATTTTTTCATGTGTCTGATAGCCATTTGTATGTCTTCATTGGAGAAGTGTCTGTTCGTATCTTCTGCCCATTTTTTGATATGATTATTTGTTTTGTGTGTGTTGAGTTTGAGGAGTTCTTTATAGATCCTGGATATCAACCTTTTATCTGTACTGTCATTTGCAAATATCTTGTCCCATTCCGTGGGTTGCCTCTTTGTTTTCTTGACTGTTTCCTTTGCTGTGCAGAAACTTTTGATTTTGATGAAGTCCGAAAAGTTTATTTTGGCTTTTGTTTCCTTTGCCTTTGGAGATATATCTTGAAAGAAGTTGCTGTGGCCAAAGAAGAGGTTACTGCCTATGTTCTCCTCTAGGATTTTGATAGATTCCTGCCTCACGTTGAGGTCATTTATTCATTGCGAGTTTATCTTTGTGTATGGTATAAGAGAATGGTCGAGTTTCATTCTTCTACATATAGCTGTCCAATTTTTCCAGCACCATTTATTGAAGAAACTGTCTTTTTTCCACTGTATATTTTTTCCTGTTTTGTCGAAGATTATTTGACCATAGAGTTGAGGGTCCATATCTGGGCTCTCTACTCTGTTCCGCTGGTCTATGTGTCTGTTTTTATGCCAGTACCATGCTGTCTTGGTGATCACAGCTTTGTAGTAAAGCTTGAAATCAGGCAACGTGATGCCCCCAGTTTTATTTTTGTTTTTCAACATTTCCTTAGCGATACGGGGTCTCTTCTGGTTCCATACAAATTTCTGGATTATTTGCTCCAGCTCTTTGAAAAATACCGGTGGAATTTTTATCGGAATGGCATTAAAAGTATAGATTGCTCTAGGCAGTATAGACATTTTAACAATGTTTATTCTTCCGATCCAAGAACATGGAATGGTCTTCCATCTTTTTGTATTTTCTTCAATTTCTTTCATGAGAGTTGTGTGGTTCCTCGAGTACAGATCCTTTACCTCTTTGGTTAGGTTTATTCCCAGGTATCTTATGGTTCTTGGTGCTATAGTAAATGGAATCGATTCTCTAATTTCCCTTTCTGTATTTTCATTGTTAGTGTATAAGAAAGCCACTGATTTCTGTACATCAAGATTAGAGCAGAGATCAATGAGGTAGAAACCAGAGATACAGTAGAACATATCAATGAAACTAGAAGCTGGTTTTTTGAAAGAATCAATAAGATCGATAAACCATTGGCCACACTAATCCAAAAGAAAAGAGAGAAAGCCCAAATTCATAAAATTATGAATGAAAAGGGAGAGATCACAACTAACACCAAGGAAGTAGAAACGATCATCAGAAGTTATTATCAACAGTTATATACCAATAAGCTAAGCAACCTAGATGAAATGGATGTATTCCTGGAAAACTATAAACTCCGAAAATTGAACCAGGAAGAAATTGACAACCTGAATAGACTGATATCTAGTAACAAGATTGAAGCAGTGATCAAAAACCTCCCAAAAAACAAGAGCCCAGGACCTGATGGATTCCCTGGGGAATTCTACCAAACTTTCAAAGAAGAAATAACACCTCTTCTCCTGAAGCTGTTTCAAAAAATTGAAGCAGAAGGAAAACTTCCAGACTCTTTCTATGAAGCCAGCATTACCTTAATCCCCAAACCAGGCAAGGACCCTACCAAAAAGGAGAATTTCAGACCAATATCACTGATGAATATGGATGCTAAGATTCTCAAGAAAATCCTAGCAAACAGGATCCAACAGCACATTAAAAAGATTATCCACCATGACCAGGTGGGATTCATTCCTGGGCTACAAGGATGGTTCAACATTCGCAAATCAATCAATGTGATAGAACAAATCAATAAGAAAAGAGAGAAGAACCACATGGTCCTCTCAATTGATGCAGAAAATGCATTTTGCAAAATCCAGCATCCATTCCTGATTAAAAC